GGATGATTTGAACTTTTTTGCAATCAGGGGTGGTAGGGGATTTGTGGTATGTGGGGTTATGATTTTTAAGTGATTTTGTGCACTTTGTTTTGACATACATATTAAACTTTTAAGACAATGATATGTTGTACTGTGAAAAAAGTAATACACATATTATACTATGAAACTGCTTTGCCACTGACCAGTATGTGAGAAGATGAGTGCTTTCGCTTTTTGGTTTTGTTTTTATAGTAAACTTTTCTTCTATCTGTTGTGGCTCCTGCTGTTCAATTCAAGCTTATTACCACTGGTTAAAAGAAATTTAGGTGTTGCAGCCAAATCTATTTAGAAACAATGTTATAATGAGGATTGAGGTGTTACTGATTTATTTAAGACAAACACATGTGTGATACAGGGGTTGTTGAAAAGGTCCATGAGAAGTGCACGGTTCTTTAACACCACATGCATCTTAAAGGCATCTCCCAAGCTTGTAATTGAAAGGACTGGAATTTTTCCTATGGTGCCCTCAAAACCACAATAAAAGGTGGACCCTTTCCTGACTGTACAGTATTTTCTGGCATGTTTTGCATTGGTACATGCCCCATGGCAATGCCCAACTCTCTACCACTTTTTTTGACAATCCCTTACATACTAAATTGTAAAATGACCCGAATACATTTTCAAGATTCACCCCCCTCCTCCACCCACAGACTTCCATGAACTGAACCCTGACACATTTGCTCATCTGTACTGTTAGTACATCTGAGGATGTTACATTTTTCCTGCTGTCAAACAATCCCTGTACTTTTGACAATTTTACTAGCTTACAAAAAAAATTCTTATCATGGACCCTTAGGAATGAGCCAAACTGCCTTGAGTTCAGTTCAAGTATGGTTCAGCAAACTGATTTGGATGGTGACCCTTTAAAATCAATGGGAACTGAATCTGTTAAATTATAAAATTCCTATAATCTGATTTAATAGGAAAATGGTTGTGAAAAAAATAGCATGGGGGAGCAAAGGCCTGTGGAAAATTAACCAATGAAAAATATTTTTTTTTTTTTGTTTTTTTAGAAGCCTTTGAACAGTCATTTTTTTAAAGCACTGACATTTACAAAGAAAAAAAGGTAGTAAATTGTAGACATTTCCCTGCTTGCTTATTTAATAATAATATAAAAAGAGCATACAGACCCCTCTAAAAGTCCTAAAATACCTTTTTGGAGGTTTCATGTGTTTTTTTTTTCTTTTTAAAAGTAGCCGGCAATGGGGGTTGTGGTGACCGTGTGAGACCCTAGCTCCTCCACACGGAACCACTCCATTCAGAGCCCACACAAATCAACCTCCACAGCCTGCTAGTGCCCACTACCTCCAGGATCCTTCCACCATGCAAAGATGAAAGAGGGAACAGCTGCCACCCTAAAAAATTCCAGGGGTTCTTCCCACTCTTCAGTAAAGGTCCACAACAAAATGGTGGGGGCAGCCAGTCTATTGCGGCCATCACTGGTCCTCTGGTGGCCACTCCAACAACAGTAAATGAAGCGGAGGCTGCAGCTCCTAGCCTCCAGACAGATCATAATTGATCTGGAGCATCAACACCCTCAACTAGGAGCCTAGCCAAGTCCCGACCACGCAGGGATTCGGATCCCTCAAACAATGATGATCAGGACATGGAGGTTCATATCCAAACATCCCTTCACACTGCAACACCTGCTCCTGCTGACCCCATTGCTACATTTCCTACATCAGGGCAGCCAGTACCTGATACCATGGTAGGATATTTTAGTTTCACTGCAGGTGGACCTCTTCTCATGCATTCACAAAATGTCAGCAGAAGGCCAAGAACTGGGACACAGAATAGGGCATGTTGAAGAAAAGATGGGAGAGTATACCTTATCCTTCAACTCATGGGTGCACACAAAGCTCAAAAAGATGACCTATCCTGGATTAAAGACAAACTTGCAGACCTGGAAGACTAATCTCGACGTAACAATCTGAAGATTTGTGGAATCCCTGAAACAATACAATCCTCACAACTGCTGCATTTTGTCTGCAACCTCTCTCTTCCAAACCCAATACCATCACTCACCTCTGTGGAGTTTACTGTTGACATGGTACATTGGATACCTAAACCATCCTTCCACCTCTCAAATGTGCTTCAAGATGTCCTTCTAAGAGTCCACTTTTTTCAAGCAAAAGAAAAGATCCTGGAAACATTTCATAAGAAAGATACCCTCCCAGAACAGGCTGCAAATCTGCTAGTTGTCACAGATCTATCTGCTTATACACTCTGCCGCTGCAAGAATCTAGACACCATTACCAAGGCGCTACAAAATCATTCTATCAATTACCAGTGGAAATATCTGGCTACACTGTTCATTACTAGTGAAGGCTCTACCTCCTCGGTCACTAATCTGGAAGATGGCCTTGAGCTGCTCCGCACATGGGACATACTACCCAATGTCCCACCATTCACATCAACAGCCACCACTCCTGGCCTGGCACAAAAAATCTCCATGGGGGCTCTGGAACATGAGTCTTCTTTCATATGATAACTCCATATCCACAAGTTCCCTGGCTTTTGGAGCTGTAACAATGCTGATCTTTCTACTCCCTTTAGATGTTTCAGTCTGACTATGCTTGGTTCGATTTAGAACCCGATTTAACTTTATAATGTGTAAGCCCTTCTACGGACCCCTTGTTCACTCTCTGCTATATTCAACATGTTCAAACCATTTTGACTGTCCTGTTTTATTTTTTCCTCAGCATTAGCCCTGCTACGATGATATCCCATCGATACACCAGTAGCATCGCCACCTGGGTATCCACCTGGAATCTACTATGCCAAGCTTCAAACATACTACAACTGCACTTCTATCCAAGTTTTTGTTACATCAGGACTGTACGTGATTATAATTTATATCTATGCTGCATCAATCACCATGACACTCAAACTAATGTCCATTAATGCTAGAGGCCTCAACCACCCAGCAAAAAGATTCTCCCTTTTAGAAAGAATTGCAATCTCTCCAAGCAGACATTCTGGCTGTGCAGGAAACCAATTTCCAGTCTGCTGCTGTACCTAAATGCAGTCACAAAGACTTCCCCCACATATTTCAGTCCACTTTCTCATCCAAGAAGAGGAGTGTACTACTCACAATTAAAAATACTGTCATTTAACTTTTGACTATTGATCCAGAAAGCAGACACATATTCCTTACATGTGATATCAATAACAAGTCCTATACCTTAGTAAACATATACACTCCTAATTCTCATCAGTTAATATTCCTCTGAAAAGTGTTTAATAAACTGTCTTCTATTAGATATGGAAGACTCCTCTTATGTGGTGACTTTGATCTAATATCTGATCCCCATCTAGATATGACCTCCTCACTCAAAGGCTGTTCTCCTTCCCGCCTCAATCTTTTTCATCATGAAGATGTCTATGAATGCTCTGCATGCATGCAAGTGAAAAAACTTTACCTACTTCTCACTATGACACCAAACATGCTCTTGCATTGATCTTTTTGTTGTCGATAAATGGTTGCTGAAACAGGAGTCCTCCTCCACTATCTCAAACATTACATGGTCTGATCATGCTGCCATTACCATCAGCCTAGTGGAGAGGGACACCTTTCCTCCTGTTAGGATATGGTGATGTAACAATAAGATAGTCAAAACCTCAAAAACAATGAATTACTAGCTCAACATCTCTGTGACTTCTTTTCCCTGAATGATACTGCTAATTCAAATGAATTCAATCTGTGGAAGGCCCATAAGGCATATATGAGGGGAATAATTATCAAATTATGTGCTGCTATAAAAAAAAAAAAACAGCACCCTCTAAATGATATCCACAGCTTGGAACTCAAAAACAAGGCAATACTCACTGAATCCCCCTCTGAAGATATTCTCAAGTTGATAATGGAACTTGAGACACTCTATAACCAGTACGATAACAGTTTACACTATATAAGGCTTAAATATTATGCATATAATAATAAAGCCAAAAAATTCCTGGTGAATCGTTTAAAGGCCCAACATGCAAAAAATAAAATCTCTCATATATTTCATCCTTTCACGCATCAAAAATTACTTTATCCCCAACAGATCGCAGACACCTTTGCGGACTATTATGGGTCCCTTTACTCCTCCATGCCCCAAAGGTCTGAAATGGATATTGAATCATTTCTATCACATTTGACATTACCTAAATTGTCCCCCACCCACTTGCATCAACTTCTCCATTTACTGTATCAGAAGTTATTAAATCATTACCCTCTGGTAAATCCCCGGCACTGATGGGTACACCAATGAATAATACAAAACGTTCAGTATAATTCTCCCCTCCTTACTAATCTTTCTACAACAGCTCAAATACAAACCTCCTCCCCACCGGAAATGTTGAGGGTGCCCATTGTTACACTTCCTAAACCTGGGAAAGAACCTAACACTCCATCTAACTTGTCAATGTTAAAATTTATGTGAAGCTTTTAGCTAGCTGCTTGACCTCCCTAGCGGTCTGATTATGTCCATATTTCTGTGCTCAAAGCGGTACATTTTTTTGCATGGAAATGTTTTTTTTTTTATTGAAGACCTGTAATTTTTAGGATTAACTCACTGAAATCTGTCCGAACAAGAGTCTATTAAACATCCTGGGTATGTTATAATTTGAAACACAAAATCATACATTATAATTTAATAAATAATCATAAAAAATAGTGATATAATAATAATAAATTTAATTCAATAATATCAAACCAAAAACACTGAAATTTTGAAATATAGCGCTAAGTTCGCACATCACTGAGCAAAGTCGCAAAATCGTTTTCAGTGTCTGACGAATTTCCCCACGAATCATCACTCAATTCTGCAAGTAGTTCTAATTTACTATCGCTGTTCTCTAGCTGGTCTAAAACCGATTTTGACCTAAAGGGACGCTTTTTGGACGCCATGGACGTTTCCAGGCAGAAAGAACAGTAAAAATGCAGGCAGGGCACAGGAAAAAGCACTAGAGACAAAATGTATGTGAAATGGTTTGATACAGTAATGTTTTACTATGTTATTTAGTGAATTTAGTGAATGTCACTTTTTTGTAATTTTCAAATTTCCCGCAGTTCCGTCCCCATACGTCGCAGGGGACGGAACCCAGAAGACAGATGCCGGCATCCGCCGGAGGACATTACAGGGGACACTGCAGGAGGGACATTGCAGGAGCGCACAACAAGGTAAGAGAAGAACAGATCCCAGAGCAGCGCCGCATGGTAAGCCCGAGTGTAGCTCGGGGTTACCGCTTGTGGTACTGAAACTTTACCCCGAGCTACACTCGGGAATACCGCCAGGGAGGTTAATGGATATCATGCCACATTTGGTCAAACCAAATGGGATTCACTAGGGGTAGACAGGCCTCAAACACCAAAAGGTGCATAATCAACATTTTACATCATGCAGAAAAACTAAACACCTTTGTTGCTACTCTTTATTGATGCAGAGAAGGCATTTGATAGAGTTCACTGGGGCTATATGTGCCACATACTTTAGGAATTTGGTTTCTCAGGTCCAGTTTTATCCAGAATACTAGCATTGTACTCATGCATACCAGCTCAAGTATATTATTATCGACACCCTTCTTAATAACAAATGGCATGAGACAAGGATACCCGCTTTCACCACTTATTTTTAGTCCTATGATTGAACCACTGGCAGAAACTGTCCGCTTACACCGTTCAATTATTGGATTTAAATTCAATTTCAATAAATCTATTTGCTGATTATGGCATACTCATTCTTACGAAACCTAGCGAATCACTACTTCATGTACATCAAATACTTACACAATTTAGTTTGTTCTCCTACTACAAAGTTAACTATACTAAATCACTTATCCCTAATCTAGGTGTCCACAGAAAAGAGCAACACACACTTATATAAATGATACTCTACTCTTGGTCTTTCTCTGGCTTATCATACTTGGGTATCACTCTGACAGTCTCTGCTAAGGCAGTGGTAGAGGCTAACTATAAACCCCTTATATCCAAATTACAAAAGGACTGAAAAATAGACAAATAAATCCCCCTGAGACTTTAAAGACAGACTAGTCTGCCTTTAAAGTCCCAGAGGGATTTCTTTGTCTATTATTTGGTCCTTTTGCAACTATATTGGGGATGTTGACAGAGTTTTACCCATATACTCCTCATGTTATAGACCACTTGATTTATTATTGTTATATACTTATATACAAATTAGAGATGGAGCTATGCCACCTTGCACACTTTGAGCTGTCGTGGACAGGGAGATTAGCGGCTTATAAAATGCTTATCTTACCACAGATACTATACCTTTTTTTGCACCTTGCTTATCCCACTCAAACCTATATACCTATGGTCTTTGACATCTATTCTCATCAATTCTTCATCTGGCAGAAGAAAAAAGCAAGATGCTCGTATACAAAACTTATTAAACATAAAGAAATGGGAGGTATAGGCCTAGTATATATCAAGGATTACTATACAGCCACGCTACTGGACCAACTAAAACATTGGTTCTCCCCTGCAATGAAGATTGCATGGGTTACTATAGAGTCTGCTTTGACTGGAACGTGAAACCTTCAACTCCTCTTATGGACTGATATGTGGAAACCACTTCCATTATTATCCCTACCCATCACTTTTAGCTTGGAGAGTGCTACTGTCATCCACCACACAATTGAATCCAACCACATCTGTGAAACTTCCTTTTGAAACACTTGATGTCTTATTACCATACCTGAAAATTGCCGATTGGTATAAATGCAATCTATGTTGGATAGATAATGTCTACACTGATAAAAAACTTAAGAGCATGGAGGATTTGCAGAAGAAATACAAAATCCTCAAAAAAGAATTCTTTCAACTAACATCCATCAGACTTTTCTTAATCACCTCTCCTCTCCCAACCATCAAAATTTCCAACAACATATGGAAATTCTATGAACAATGCTTTACACCCTCCAAAGGCATTTCATTCTTTTACAAAGACAAGCAAACATGTTTTAAGACCTCCCCTATCCAACCATGGGAAGCTAATCTACACATATTTATTTATTTTATGTACTTATATAGCGCCGTCAATTTACATATATATATTGTACATTCACATCAGTCCCTAACCCTCAAGGGGTGTACAATCTAAGGAAATATATCATATACTGTATACCAGTGGACCACAGTCCTTCACTATTCATATGCCATATCCCACTGTGCTAATCATTAGTAACTCACAGAACAAATTACTACCCAATGGTACCTTACCCCATGTTGCATTGCACAGTTTTCCTCTGGCAATTCCCCCTCATGCTGGTGAGGATGTGATCAGGTTGGTAATCTCTTCCACATTTTCTGGGCATGCAAAAACCTCCGTAGCTTCTGAAGACATGTGTTCCAGCTCCTCTCCAGTATCTCTGGAATTCTTATTACTCCAGAACTGGCATTAGCAATCCTAAATCTAGGCATTGATAATTTCCTGACATATTATCGTAAAATAGTATGTAGCATCCTACTGTAAGCCAATGTGCCAGTGATGTCAGAGATTGTTAGGGACACAGCAGGTGCCAGCTGCTTGCTTGGGAAGCATTGACAGTGGGAAGCTGTCATATAAATCAAGAAATATAGTTTTTGAAATGGTGCTTGGCTCCTGCTGAATGGGAAAAAGTTCAGGTGTTCTTCTGAAAGTTTAAATGGCCAAAGCTCATTTCTAAACTGTTAAGACTGAACTGTTGGCTCATCCCTATGCACCACAACCTTTTGACAGTCAACACTTTAAACTGTATCTAAACCCATGAGCAAAATATGTATATATTACAACTTTCCAATGTGATTACAATAGTTTATTTTTTTCAGGCCCTTTACTTAATTTTCATCTAGCAATCCTAACAGTAACATACTCCCTGTCCTAGAGTGACAATGTTTACTCACTCTACTGTATCTATGGATACATAGCATTGTCACCTTAGAAAAGGAAGTTCTGAAGGACTACAAACCCCTGTCCATATCCTCTTTTCATTAACATACAGGTAAGTTGTTTTGTAGTTTAGAAAGAGAATTGGGACCAGCGCTAACTGATAACACTGTAGTAGAAAGTTATCAGGTTGACTTACTAGAGCGTGCAAAATCTGGCGCAGATGGTGCACTAATCAGCTTCTAACTTCATATTGTTTAAATAAGCTTTGACAAAAAAAAAGAAAAAGGAAACTGGTTTCTTCAGTTTTAGTAAATCAACCCCATGAACTCACAGGATTTGTAGCAAAATCAACTTGAGTGTTTTTGCTTTTACTGAATAGATGTAGTATAAAAAACACTTTCAATTGTGTATTTAACAGACCATAAGGGAGCAAGTAAGAGAAGTTAATAGTTAGGGTTTACATAAAGTACACTGTAATATAATAGCTTTTCAAGCTTTTCCCGTGGCATTTTCTATACAGGAAAACAGTATTCATTTATTTTTAAATCTATTTGTGAACGGTTCTGCATATTATTGCATAATAAAATACAAGCATTTAAAATAATTGTACATTTACCAAAGTGAATCAGAATATTTTTATTGTGTTTTGGCATATCATTAACCATTTGTCATACAATTTCCTAGGAAAATCTCAGAGAATTGTGTGCTAGACCACATATCCTGTATTGCTTTAGTTGTATCTAGTGATAAGAGAAGGGATTAAATGTTCAGGAACTCTATATAAACAGAGTAAATTGTGATGACAGGATGCCCATTTCAAAGGCATCTAGCAGGTGGTCACTGCAAAGAAGCTGTGATAGGAAGATTATTCCTAATCTCTTTTGAAAAACCAATGTCAGTACTTTCTGTGATGCACTACATAGAAATACTCATGGAGCAGTTGATGAGAAACAAAGGAAAATGCATTTATGTGCAGTCTGGATATTTAAACCCTTTACTAAAGGGAGATTTATTTTATTGATGAGTTTAAAAATCTCCTACCAGCATTATTCTAGGATGATGTGAAATGAAAGTGAGAGAGAAAAAAAAAATACACAAGGGATTCATATATCATCTTCACTGCACAGGTATCATCCCATTTCTCAAAGTGTCATAATAAACACTTATCGCAATAGTTATATTCATAACTTAAATAATTGACAACTAAGCTGAATTGGGATTATAAGCAAAATTTAGAAATCATATAAAATATAAAAAGGTGCTAAGAGTCACAGAGAAATTACATCATTTAAAACAATATTTTCATTAAAGTGAAAATCAACGCATAGTAATAATGACATACTTTACTAAAAAAAAAAAACATTCTGGTATATGCATTGAAAAATCCTTCACAATCAGGTCATAATACACTGCTGATACTTCTTCTATTCTGAAAGATTTAGCCAAGGAGGAAGGAACACGAGATGTGACCCAAGATAGTCACATGACACTTCAGAAATATATGCTTTGTAAAACACTCATTAGGCATGACACATGGAACTGCTATGCTGTCAATCGGCCTGTAATGATGGAGGAGAGGCATTGATGTCACTGGAGAGTTAAATCTGCAGTGCTCACTCTGAGATGTGCTGATGTTGGAAGTGGAATCCATTTAATTGTAATGATAACAGCCTATAGGATCCTTTAAACAGATTGCCAGGTGTATTAAGCACAATGCATAGTGCAATCATGTTAAAGGTATGTTGAATTCTATAGGGATGAGATTAGCTACAAAGGAAACAATGCTCAGATGTGTAATAAATATCTATATATCTATATATATATATATATATATATATATAAATATCAATATCAGAATGACCACTATGTTGAAACTTAACAACTCTAAAAAAATAAACAACGGCCACAGTACATCAACAGCCCCATAGTATATTTACATGTCTGTCTGTCTTCAAATAAACAGTGGCATTGACAAATATCTATTTTATCCACAAGTGATTTAATGGTAAATTTACAGTAAAATGTACTTTTAAATTCTGATATCACATTTGTGAAATAAAATATATTGGAAAAAGCAAAATAAATGATTAATACTGCTTGTTGCTACAATTTATATTTATTTAACAATTAACAAGGCTAAGATTTTTTTAAACAAACATACTTATCTGCTCTTAACCTCCTTTTCTGGGGATCTCTGCCGATGCTATTCGCTCCTCCTCTTTTCCATGTGCAACTATAAGAAAACCTCTTCCTATGGGGGCTCATCGTTAGGCTCAGTCTCAAGCAAGGTGTCCATAGACACACAATTTGGGTCAGCCACAGAGCCCAACTCTCTGCTCACTGAATTTGATTAACAGCAGCAGGAGCCACTGACTTCCCATACTGCCTCTCTGTCCTATGAATGCAGAGAGA